AAAAATCCTTCATGTTATTAATTCTCATGCAAGCAAAGTAAAGCATATAGGCATGCATGCGTCTCTCTCTCTCTCTCTCTCTCCTCGGATCACACAAATTCCACTATAAGAAAATCCAGCTTTGGCGACTAAAAAATGAATTTTCGTCGCTGAAAGTAGGACAATCGGCGACTAAAATGGAATTAGTCGCCAAAAGTGAACACTTTTGGCGACTAAGACAATTTAGTAGCCAAATGCATAGTTATTGGCGACTAAAATCAATTTCGTAGCCAAAAGTAAGGGTTTTGGCGACTAAAATTCAGTTTAGTCGCCAAAAGTGCAGATTTTTTGCTACTAAAAAAAATTAGTAGCTAAAAGGAGGGGTTTTGCCGACTAAACCCGACTTTAGTCGCCAAAAGTGCTGTTTTTGGCTACTAAAAAAAATTAGTAGCTAAAAGGAGGGGTTTTGCCGACTAAACCCGACTTTAGTCGCCAAAAGTGCTGTTTTTGGCTACTAAAAAAAATTAGTAGCTAAAAGGAGGAGTTTTGGCTACTAAACCTGACTTTAGTCGCCAAAAGTGGCTGTTTTTGGCTACTAAAAAAAAATTAGTAGCTAAAAGGAGGAGTTTTGGCTACTAAACCCGACTTTAGTCGCCAAAAGTGCTATTTTTGGCTACTAAAAAAAAATTAGTAGCTAAAAGGAGGAGTTTTGGCTACTAAACCCGACTTTAGTCGCCAAAAGTGCTATTTTTGGCTACTAAAAAAAAATTAGTAGCTAAAAGGAGGAGTTTTGGCTACTAAACCCGACTTTAGTCGCCAAAAGTGCTGTTTTTGGCTACTAAAAAAAAATTAGTAGCTAAAAGGAGGAGTTTTGGCTACTAAACCCGACTTTAGTCGCCAAAAGTGCTGTTTTTGGCTACTAAAAAAAAATTAGTAGCTAAAAGGAGGAGTTTTGGCTACTAAACCCGACTTTAGTCGCCAAAAGTGCTGTTTTTGGCTACTAAAAAAAAATTAGTAGCTAAAAGGAGGAGTTTTGGCTACTAAACCCGACTTTAGTCGCCAAAAGTGCTGTTTTTGGCTACTAAAAAAAAATTAGTAGCTAAAAGGAGGAGTTTTGGCTACTAAACCCGACTTTAGTCGCCAAAAGTGCTGTTTTTGGCTACTAAAAAAAAATTAGTAGCTAAAAGGAGGAGTTTTGGCTACTAAACCCGACTTTAGTCGCCAAAAGTGCTGTTTTTGGCTACTAAAAAAAAATTAGTAGCTAAAAGGAGGAGTTTTGGCTACTAAACCCGACTTTAGTCGCCAAAAGTGCTGTTTTTGGCTACTAAAAAAAAATTAGTAGCTAAAAGGAGGAGTTTTGGCTACTAAACCCGACTTTAGTCGCCAAAAGTGCTGTTTTTGGCTACTAAAAAAAAATTAGTAGCTAAAAGGAGGAGTTTTGGCTACTAAACCCGACTTTAGTCGCCAAAAGTGCTGTTTTTGGCTACTAAAAAAAAATTAGTAGCTAAAAGGAGGAGTTTTGGCTACTAAACCCGACTTTAGTCGCCAAAAGTGCTGTTTTTGGCTACTAAAAAAAAATTAGTAGCTAAAAGGAGGAGTTTTGGCTACTAAACCCGACTTTAGTCGCCAAAAGTGCTGTTTTTGGCTACTAAAAAAAAATTAGTAGCTAAAAGGAGGAGTTTTGGCTACTAAACCCGACTTTAGTCGCCAAAAGTGCTGTTTTTGGCTACTAAAAAAAAATTAGTAGCTAAAAGGAGGAGTTTTGGCTACTAAACCCGACTTTAGTCGCCAAAAGTGCTGTTTTTGGCTACTAAAAAAAAATTAGTAGCTAAAAGGAGGAGTTTTGGCTACTAAACCCGACTTTAGTCGCCAAAAGTGCTGTTTTTGGCTACTAAAAAAAAATTAGTAGCTAAAAGGAGGAGTTTTGGCTACTAAACCCGACTTTAGTCGCCAAAAGTGCTGTTTTTGGCTACTAAAAAAAAATTAGTAGCTAAAAGGAGGAGTTTTGGCTACTAAACCCGACTTTAGTCGCCAAAAGTGCTGTTTTTGGCTACTAAAAAAAAATTAGTAGCTAAAAGGAGGAGTTTTGGCTACTAAACCCGACTTTAGTCGCCAAAAGTGCTGTTTTTGGCTACTAAAAAAAAATTAGTAGCTAAAAGGAGGAGTTTTGGCTACTAAACCCGACTTTAGTCGCCAAAAGTGCTGTTTTTGGCTACTAAAAAAAAATTAGTAGCTAAAAGGAGGAGTTTTGGCTACTAAACCCGACTTTAGTCGCCAAAAGTGCTGTTTTTGGCTACTAAAAAAAAATTAGTAGCTAAAAGGAGGAGTTTTGGCTACTAAACCTAAGCAAATAGCACCAATGTAAATATTCATAGTGGCTATAAACAACCAAACAACATGACAGCATCACCCATTCATTACCCACAAACCACAAATTTTCAATGTACACAACTATGATGTGAATAATAAGTGGATAAATATAAACAACATTAACCCTCACAATGTCAAGGTTCACGTCAAAATTGAACTACAAGTAGAAGAAACGTTTTTATTTTGAGATTTGCTTGACACAATGTTCACAATCATGTAACAAATTTATTCAGGACATGTCTCCACGTGAATGTTGACATCATGCCAACAACAACAATATCCAAAACAATGACAATTTTCTGTTTTCTAAGAAAGCAACAAATTTGGGAGTTTACATAATTTCAACAATACCAATAACAACAAAAAGAGAAAAAATAACAGCAAAATCATGAACAACAAGGACCAAAAATAATAATGGCAACATGTGAGAAAGTTTGCATTAGGACCCAAAAAAATGTAATTTGATTACACAAAAAAGGAAAAAAAAGGGTGCTTGCATTTGGTCTCCATGTTGAGTTGATACACTCTGATAAATATAAATCTTCACAGCGTTATTTCTTCTTCGTTGGAGTATGGTTCCAATAGTCGACAACATTTCGATAACGGTGGAATGGTTGGAGAACGGAAAGACACAAACGATGGGTCGACCCGCCGCATGTCAACATTGTTGCCAGTGTTTGCATGTGGGTTTTCTTCTTTGACATGATACTCATCTATTTTTCGCTTTGAGGCTTTCTTCTGTGCAATATTTGCAAAATAAAGCATAAAAAAAATTAAGACAAGGCTTATGTGATTAAAACAGTGGCACAAATGTAAACATTCACAATATTGGCATAGATGTGAATGTTCACAGTTGTGTGCATGGGTGCGAATGTCTACAGTTGTGTGCATGGATGCGAATATCCATATCTGTCCATGGATGTGGATGTTCACTGTGTCAACAAAAACAGAATGTGCATTGCGTGTGTGTATGTAAAAATCAATGTGTGTTTATATATTAATGAACAACATGAACAACATTCAAGAACATATGGATGTTAATCCAAATAGATTAAAGGATGTTGTGAACATTCACAGTACTAATTTGGCTAACAATACACAGACTTACTACAATCATGTTATGCCAATTTTATAGTACAACTTCAAAATTGAAATATGGTTTCAAACATGGGATAACAAAAGTGATATATTTCTTCTAAATATAGTAGTGAATGTTCACAAAGTGTCTAATTAATTTACATATGTTGTGTATATTCACAACATAATTATATATCACAACAACATCTGATATAAGGAAATTGGACCATGATTCTTTTATTTTCATGTGAATGTTCACTACGGTTAACAACAACAATTTGATTGGCCAAACATTTTCAATCCATGTGAATGTTCACATCTTTCAACAACAACAACAACAATAACATCTGAAACAATTTGATTGGCCCAACATTTTTTAATCGATATGAATGTTCACATCTTTCAACAACAGTAACAACAACAACTAAAATAATTTGTGTGTCCAACAATTTTCAATTTCATGTGAATGCTTACATCTTTCAACAACAACAACAATAACATTTGAAATAATCTGATTGGCCCAACATTTTTCAATCCTTATGAATGTTCACATCTTTCAACAATAACAACTGAAACAATTTGCTTGCCCAATAATTTTCAATTCCATGTAAATGTTTACATATTTCAACAATAACAACAACAACATCTGAAATAATTTGATTGGCTCAATATATTTAAATCCATGTGAATGTTCATATCTTTCAACAACAACAACTAAAACAATTTGCTTGCCCAACAATTTTCAATTTTATGTGAATAGTCATATCTTTCAACAACAATAATAATAACATCTGAAATAATTTGATTGGCCCAACATCTTTCAATCTATTTGAATGTTCACAGATTTAAACATAATATAATGGCAACTGTAATGTTTTTGGGTGAAAAAACCCATATAATTGGGTATAGGGATTGAGGGTTCAAATTAACGATTAGGGCATGAACGATAACAATTTGAACTTCCATATATTATATGCATAAAAACAGGGGATATTGGTGAAAGTTCACAATGTTGTTTGTTGAAGAAGAGATTTAGGGTTTGCATACAAGAATGATTTAATTACTTACATTTTTTGCCCATTTCGATGATTGCGTTGTCACAAATGGTCGTCGATGGTGATTTTGACGAAGATAGAACTTATAGATGCTCAACAATGGTGATTTTCATGATTTCAGCGACTGGCGATGTAGGGATGACGAAGAAAACGATGCGATGATGCGATAAGGAAAGTCTTTTGGGCGTTGAGACGATATGGAATTCAATTTTGGATTTTTGGAATAGTGGAGATATTGTTCATGATTTTCTGCAAAAAGAGAGGGGAAGAGAGAGATGACTATTTGATTCAAAGATAGGCGCGTGTTTGTTTGAGGGTTTTTCAGTCTTTTAGTATGAAACAGGACCTGATGGAATATTACAAAACACTATAAGTCCAATGAAATAAGACTCTTAGAGAATGAATTTACTAAAAAAAAGCTCCCTCTTAATAATGTATATTCTTCATTAATTTTGATAATGTATATTCTCCATTAATTTTCGATGATAATGCCCTTTATTTAATTTTTATGTAAACAGGAAGCCAAACAGATCCTTCACACAATTTCCCCCCAGAGCTGACTCGGACGCGCTTTCCCTCGTCTCCGGTCAAAACTATTAATCCCATCTCCCGTCTCTCTCTCTCTCTCACTGATAAACCCTAACTTTGCTCCGACCCCCAAAACTACGTACAACACAACGATTACGCTTGCAAGCGAAACCCTAGTTTGAACCCTAAAACCGCCTTTGATCTCCGACTCCTCGCCCATTGATCTATGTCTTTTTGTCTTCTATATCTTCAACGATGAACAGTTCTTGTAAAAATTTGGACGTTTTCGATTTCAAGGAGGACGAATTATCGGAGTGTCCATCTTCCAAGTTGTTCAGCAAATTCAAAAACCCTAATGCCATTGACAAATATAGTTTCCTCGAAGAGGGTAAGCGTGTATATGTTTGTATGTATTCAATTCTATCAGTATTTATGCAATTATGTGTGCTAGCTGAGACATACATTTGTATATATAGATATCTGGGGTTTATTCTAGATATATCTAGAATTGTATACAGACATTTGGTTTGGTTTGTTTTGTTTGAGGAGGTAATTGGTAGATGTGTATTGTCAATTATATTTGCTTTTTCTGTTTTGGTAATGCTTAACTGGTTGATGGGCACATGTGGAGTTTGAATTGAACTGAGATGCCAAGTTGTGTTGTATGAATGTCAGTTGAATCTGTTTCAAAAGTCCCTTAGGTCATGTTGGTATTGATGCTTTCTTTTTTCAGGGAAAGCAATAGAAACAAATGGGCATTGGCCACATAAGTTTTACTGCGGGCAAAATATTATTTTTATATCTGTCATGAATATAAAGTAGAATTATGTAGCTTGTTATATATTTTTTTTACTTGAATGGTTGGAGATTACATTGTGAATGACTTCTATCTCAAGTTTGCTAGCCCAAATTGAGTTTCATGCCTGCACTGTATTGGTTAATTCTTAATACATTGCAGATAATAAAAAGGACACGGTACTGTGAATGGCCGTACCTCCAATGGTTACAAACTTACAGTGTTATTTTTCCCATGATTTTTAGTACAAGTTTTGTTTTGGCCTGCCTATAATTAACTAGTTCACTACTTCAACATGGCACATTTTTCCCCATTGCATGTAAATACAAGTTTGTTGCTTTTGTTACTTGATCTAACATTTCAGTAGGCCAGAAACCAAATTTTCCAATCTTGTGACAGCCTTCTTACATCTCCATTGCTTTTGGTTATCTGATGCTTTTTTTTTGTTTTGTTTTGTTTTTTTTGCATATATATATATATATATATATTTTTTTTTTTGGGTGCAAAACAAAAGAAAGAAAATCCTCTTTGAGTGTAGTGAGTGGATGTATGGTGTTATGTTTTTCCTATGCGGAAATGACTGCAGTCAAAGATCTTGATATGTCTTTGAACAACTGACATGCTATATGTTAAATATGGCACTGGTCAACTTTTCATTTATCAAGTGATTTATTACTTTCTCATACCAAACTTATCCTATCACCCCTCCAAAACAAAACAAATCTCAGGCCAGGCTCCTTTGTAGTTGTCTCTAGGTCAAATAATTATTGCTTGTTCCTATTTACTCAACTATTGTTCTCATTTTAAACTTAAATGTAATGAATGTAATCTGAAAGTACTTATTGTCAATGTCTCTGTGCCTTTTTTTTAAAATGTTTTTTTCTTTTACTTTTTAACTTTTGTGGTATTGCTTCCAGTTGCTGATGGAACCAACTTTCAATCAAAAGAAATAGATAATTTACCATGTGTGGATGTTGATGCAATGGACAATGTTCACAGTTGTGACAATGCTGTCTCACATATCCCAATTGGCTTGGAAGGAGAAGACCCTGCTCCCAATAAAATGTCTGGGTTGGATGATTTTTTGCTATTTAATTCCACAAATCATGAACAGCAGGCTCAATTTATTCCTGATAAACTCAAACCTGGAAGTTTCTCTGCTCAACTAGAACCAAGAGCTTCAAACCCTGGAGAAGTTTCACTTGGCATCAGCCAATTAAAATTTTCCCTTCAAGAGTCTCCATCCAGCGTAATTAAATTTCTATGTTTAACTGATTTATGCTGAGAATCCAGAATGCATTATTAAGATATGCTCATTCAAGCTGAAATCTTTTCAGGATGAGTCAGTTGATGTGATTTCGGATGCTGATGAAAGCATATGTGAAAGTTCTCCATCAACTTCTGATGTTTCAGGAGATGACTGTACATCATCGCTTCTATGATTTGTTACTTTCTGCCTTGTCATATGTTTATGCAAGCTGAATGCACCATGATGTTTCTAACTATAATCTGTTCTGTTTTTGCAGATCCTTTAGATGGGCCATTATCTGATGATTTCTTGGGTGGTTGGGAAATGGTATTTTCTCTCATTGTCTCTTTGATAAGTCCAGTGTGTTCTCTTTCTTCAAACCAAGTGTTTTACTATGCACCAAAAAATGGGGAAAAAAACACACTCAAGTATGTGAAAGATGAAGATCTGAAATAAAAATGTTGTTTGTGCATGTTAAAATGGACAATTTATTTGTTTATAAAATTGTTTATCATGTTATTTGTTGGTTATCAAACTACTCCTTTCTGCTGTGTCTACCTTCTTTTTGTCTTCTTAGTTTATCAAGTGATGCTTATTCATATTTCTTGAAATGGATTTTATGCTTTGTTTTCAACCTAATATTATTTGGTTTCAGTTGTAATTATGGCTTTAGGGAATTTTTCAGTTGTATTTGGTTTCTGTTGTTTTCAACCTTGGTCAGAATGCTTCTTTTGTTAAATATCAGCCTAGTTATGGCTTAAGGGAATCTTTGGTTGACTAACACTAATCTTCAGATGGTAAACATGTTTGAGCCATTTTTCTTATGTAATTAACTTAGACGTCATTTAATTAACAAAATGCTTTTGCTTCAGTTGGTATGTGGTCAAATTATCTATTATGTTGCTATGTAACTTATACTCAAAAGATATAGAATTGCATAGAATAGTATAGAACCAGAAAGTTGAAAATTCCACTTTGCATTTAGTACAGTTGATGTGAATAATAGTTAATGTTTTTTCTCTCTTGGGTGACAATAGTCGAGCTGCATTTTTTAATGTTGATGCAAATACCAATAACATGATGTTATCCGTGCAGTTAGCTTTGTATTTCTACAAGTTCTACTCTAGTTCATAAATTTCCACTTTTTTTTGTTTATTCTCAACATTCTTTTTGCTGTTCTTGTGGGGTTTACAAAATGTTTCTTCTTCGCTAGCTGGAACATGCATTTATAGCAGGACTTCAAACTGCACATTTGTCAACTGTATTCCTTTAGTTGTGACTATTTATTTTGTGTGGTTGGCAGGGCGACAGGAATGCGGTAGTCGTTTGTCCCGATTATATTGTATATTGCGGTAGATTTTGTACAGAGTCCGTGTTGATTTTTTCCAGCAATTGCATTGAAGTGAAGGGTTCAACTACCTATAGAAATGACAGAACCTTTAACTTTCAATGGGGAATCGATGATATTGTTGATATTGAATCACAGTGGTCGCAAAGTGTGAGTCCCAAAAAACTCTTATTTGAGTCCCTTTTTTTATTATGTTGCTTGTTTATGAAAAACTCATTTTCTTATGTTATTTGTACTCAGCTTCAGATAGCTAAGGTAAAGCTTTGCTTGATGTCAAAAGATGCAATGCAAGCTGATGATGCACAAGGCACTTCAGGTTGGTGCACATTAGGCGAAATCTATTCCCATTCTGCTTCCTGTTTATTTCAGTTGGTTAAATTCTCATTATTACCGTTCTTGTTTGGTTGGAATTTTTGCCTTAGTTTTGTTTAGTCTTTGGAATGTTTTATGGTTGAAATAGAAGCCTTCCCAAAGGTTCCTGTAATTAGCACAGGCATCCCCTGTGGTTTTTTTTATTAGTACAACGTCTGTTCAGGTTCTGTATTATCGTTCAATTAGCTTTCCTCGTCAGATTCTTCAGCAAGTTATGTCAGCTCTATTTGTAATAGACATTCCAGTTTCCCTCGGGGTATAGAGTTGGTATGTTGCATTTTGGAGATGAAGTTACCGAGTTGATGTTCTAGAAGGTTTTTGGACATGTGCATGTGGAAAAGTGAGTTATATGCAAATGGGGATATGGGACTAGTGAGAGTTGTTAAAATGTGTATTTTATGATTCAACATCAATTTTTTTGTTTTGTTTTGTTTTTTTTTTAATTTGAAAATAAGTTGGAAAAATAGAAGCGTTTAATCAAAACTACTTAATATCTGAGAAATGGAGCAAGCAACAAGCAGTGGCCATGTTGATAGAAAACAAGTCAATGTTCTTACAGTCAACTATTGGAAAAGTAAGAAGTACAAACACTTCTATTGAGAAGATGTGTCGTGTCGAACACCCGTGTCAAACATGACACTCTGCAGACACTCTTAAAAGCGTGTTCTTCTTCAATGCGTCTTAATTAAAAATTTAAATTTGAATCAGATACTTTGCTGACACTTCTCAAATATTTTGATGACACTTCTTGATCCTTCCGAGCATGACCTATGTGGTGAATCTCTTCATTCAGCTTTCTTCAGAATGCAACTTGTGTACTTAAAATATGTTTTAAACTTTTATAAGATTAATATATTATGTGTATTTTAAATGTTTCACAATTGTTTTGCATTTTTTTAAATGCAATTGTTGTGTGAATGATATCTTGATGTTTAAGCTATGAAATATAGGATTTTTTAATTTTAATTAGGTCTCTTTTGGGATGAACTAAAAAAGCGAGGTTATTGGCTTATTTGGGTCACACCATCTCTCTATTTTTCTGCATGTCTTTTCGTAATAAGCAAAAAAGCCAGCTTATAAGCCACACCTTAGTGTTAGATTACTTTTTTGCATTGCCTTCAAATAAATTGTTCATATTTTGACAAATAATAAATTTATAAAAATTTAAAATTTTAACATGTCCTAAGTGTATAACGTCCTGCATATTTCGAAAATCATAGTGTGCGCGTGGAAACCTTACCTTTTGTTGTGGTGTTCTATTTTTTCTACTATATGTTTGTGGGGTTTAATTTGATTTATGCAATGAATGTCAATTTTTTTCCGTTCCTTTGCAAATTGCAGGCATTGAGGAGTTAAAGTTTGCTGTACATGACTCTAACTGGTACGAGAAGCGGGAACAGATAACATCTTTGGACGTGCGATATAAGGCACTATGGAAAGTTGAGTTTGAGTGAGTTTTTTATTTATTTTTATTTTTTTAAATTAGTTTATTTCTGTTTATGTTTCTTGTTATTGTTTGTAGTTTTTTTTTTCCCCTAATAAATTATAAACCTAGGTTTCCAGTAATAATCACTAATTTTGAATAGTTGATTGTTGAGTTTGTTTTTCCGAATGGATCTGGCTTCCAATTCTGAAGTAATTTCACTTATTTGTACTTAGATATAGATCTCTTGCATTTGTTGAGGTAACATAGATAATGAATTTTTAAATGAGATTATGAGAGATATGCATAGTATACAAAAGTTATTATATGGTTGTAAACCTTTTGGGGGTTTATTATAAAATAATTTGCCATTCTCTTTTTGTCATGCACAGAAAAAAGAGGGGGAAAAGGGGGGAATCATATCAGTTTATTTTGGCCAGTGTTACATGGACTCTTCTCTATTCCACTAGTGTACGACCTCCCATTCAAATTGGAGGCTTGTATCCTCTAATATCTGATGATGGAAGAGGAAGAACTCATAATTGTTAATAAAGAATTCTTTCTTGCTTCTCACATGGATATGGAAATATCCCATTTAGTTTCAAGCATATCCATAATTAATAACATTCTCTGTACAAAATAAAATACAATGTATTTGATATATATGATGTGCACCAACTTTTGGGTACATATCCTTGTACTCCAAGGTTGTAGGTTTAGGGAGGTCTGATACTCATACTAGAGTGTCAAAAAAAAAAAAAAAAATATTGTGGCTGGTCTCCATTACTTTAGTAGCACTATGCTATGGCTGTTTGTATAGGATCAATAATTGGACATTTACTGTACGTTTGAATAGATGGGAATCGCTCACCAACTTTCTCGAGATGGAACTGATGGCATTAATGCTAAGAGACAATAATTATTGTTGTTATTAGGATAGTTGATAGTGTTTAACTTTAGTGGGTATCATAGATTTTTCAATCCTTGTTAAAGAAAGGATTATTTGAAGGATAGTGGCAGGTCAAGTTAACAAGCAAAAACATAATCTTCATTTTGTTGAGTTTGTCATGTTCTAGTTTGTAGGGGATTGGTGGGAGTCCCTATGGTTTGGCCCCAATGGCATTGCACTTGAATTCAAGTGAATTCAACGGAAAAAGCACATTATCACCCAAATCTTGTTGTGGTTCATTGTTTGTTGTATACTATTATTGTTTTACCCTATTAGTTTTGCATAGAGATGATATAACAGTGGTTTTTTTTATTTTTATATCTTGCTATCTGCGAATTTGTTTTAAACGTTTTATCATGTTCTCAAAATATAAATCTGGGCTCTTTGCTCAAATTGTTGCAAAGTTGTTTGGATTTGAATATTCAATATTGTTTTGAGGGACCTTTTTTTGGTTTGGTATTGCTATAGTTGTAGTATGCTTTGGTTTTTAGTTCTTATCCATCAAAATGTAACTTGTTTATTGCCGATCAAAAAAAAAATGTAACGTGTTTATTTCCTTGTAGTAGTTGCATAGGAGGTGATGGAGTGGCTTTACCTGGGCAGAATGGCATACACATTCCAAAGAAAAGATATTTTCCCAAGTGAGTGACTGAATTCATATTTTCTTTGTCAAATGCCCTTGGAGATGCTACTTTTGGTGCTTATTGGATTCATTTTGTTATTTTGTTGCTTCTTTTGCTATCTGTCAGCATTCATATGCTCATTCAAGTTCCCCCATTCCAATTTGTACTGATGGTATATTCTTGTTCTATTTAGAAATTTGCAAGCTATTTTAATATCTGATTGTTTGTGGTATTTGGCTGTATTACTTTGGTTTACCATCCATGGCCAATTTTGTACCCAGTGGTGATGTATGCTGAATTCAATGAGATGTCTTATTCTTATTTTTATCAGCAACAAGACACTTTTATTGAATATAGAAAAAAGGGTAGTACAAATAAGTTCAAGGAGGACAAGTGGTTCCCTAAGAGAAAATAAGACAAAAACAAAATAACAAATCACACCCAGGCATGGCTTTCCAATTTCTAGGAATTAAAAACAAATGACCCCCTTAAAAGTGGGGCTGACACTGAAGCCCATAAATCAGACAAGTGACAAATCTGATCCCATAAGCCTCCCCTATAATCAAACTTATCCTCAAAAGTTCTTGGTTTTTTTCTTCTTCATTGACTATGTTAAAAATTGTTGATTCATGTGAAATTTACTTTTAAGTTAGTATTAAGTTACTATTGTTGCTTGGACTAGGTGATGCAAGCATCTCTTGTGGACAACTTGACAAAGATCTCCTTTCATGCAATTAATTGTGCTCCTTGATGGGAAATATGTTTGTTTTAGAGAATATCAAAACTTAGGGAATGACAATAACATCATCCCCCTTTATATTCGTCAACCAACTGTTACAAGGAGAGTCCTAAGGCACTAATTAAGGAATACAAAATAATCTAAGGAAACAAATAATAAGGAAACAAATAATAGAAATATTCTAACATACATTCTAACACTCCCCCTCAAGTTGGTACAAAGATATCTCTCATGCCCAGCTTGCCAAGAATATCATAAAATGGTTTACTCTCAACTCCCTTGGTGAGGATATCTGCAAGTTGTTCACCAGACTGCACAAATGAAGTACATATTGTGCCACTAGTGAGCTTCTCTTTGATGAAGTGACGATTAATCTCAACATGTTTTGCTCTGTAATGTTGAACTGGATTATGAGCTATGTTGATGGCAGCTTTATTATCACAATATAGTCATATAGAGTCTGTTTGGGCAATTCCCAAGTCATGCAACAACAACTTGATTCACAAGAGCTCACACACACCTTGTGCCATAGTACTCTAAACTCAGCTTCTGCACTAGACCTGACAACCACATTTTGTTTTTTACTTCTCCAAGTAACCAAATTGTCTCCAACAAAGGTACAATACCCAGAAGTGGACCTCCTATCAGTGACTGATCCTGCCCAATTAGCACCTGTATAAGCTTCCACACTAAGATGATCATGTTTGAAAAAATAAAGACCTTTTCCAGGAGAAGATTTCAAGTATCTCAAAATTTTCATAACTGCTGCCAAGTGTGTTTCATGAGGAGCATGCATAAATTGGCTGACCACACTAACAACAATAGCAATATCAGGACGAGAATGAGATAAGTAAATGAGCTTACCCATTACCCTTTGATAACGCTCCCTGTCAACAACTGCTCCCCCACTATCATCACAAAGTTTCTAATTAGGCTCCAGTGGTGTGTTACAGGCGTTGCTTTCGAGCATCCTTGTTTCCTTTAAAATAGGTCAAGAACATATTTTCTCTGACAGATGAAAATTCCATCTTTCAACCTAGTCACTTTAGTACCCAGAAAGTATTTTAGGTTCCCTAAGTCTTTGATTTCAAACTCACTTGCCAAATACTTTTTCAACAAAAGAATTTCCTCAACATCATCTCCTGTAAGAACTATGTCATCCACATATACAATGAGAGCTGTAGTCTTACTATGAGAGGAATGTTTAACAAACAGAGTATGATCAGCTTGACTCTATTTGAAGTCACATTTCAGCATGGCTTGAGTGAACCTTTCAAACCAAGTCCTAGGAGACTATTTGAGGCCATATAATGACTTCCAAAGTTGACACACCTTACCCTGAGTTTGAAGAGTTTCAAAGCCAGGAGGAATATTCATATACACCTCCTCTTCTAGGTCACCATGCAGGAAAGCATTCTTCACATCAAACTGATGAAGTGGCCAATCTAGATTAGCTGCCAGAGAGAGAAGTACTCGGACTGAATTCATCTTCGCAACTGGTGCAAATGTTTCTTGATAGTCCACACCATAAGTCTGAGTAAAATCCTTTACCACAAGTCGAACTTTATATCGCTCAATTGGACCATCTGCCTTGTGCTTCACAATATACATCCATTTGCATCCCACAGTTCGTTTGCGCCTAGGTAGCTCAGTCAAATCCCAAGTGCCATTTTTATGAAGTACTTTCATTTCCTCCACCATGGCCAGTTTCTACTTAGGAATAGTAAGAGCATCTTGAAAATGATTAGGTATACTAACAGAGGAAATTTTTGACACAAAGGCTTTATATGAAGAGGATAAATGAGAATGAGACACAAAGTTAGAAATAGGATGATGAGTGCAAGATCTCACACTCTTTCTCTTGGCAATGGGTATATCAAGATCAGTAGGCTCAAGCTCAGGAGTTTCAGGGTTAGCGGGACCTTTATCGAGAGAAGGAGACGGCAATGATTGATCAGAAATGATCTCTTGTATCCAAGTAACTTTATGCCTTTCTTTATCCATAAAATAGACCTGTCCTTCTTTATTCTTGGCAACATCGGATTCAATATTGCTAGTGATAGATACCACTGGCAGTGATAATGGATCAGGAATAATAGAAGCAACTGGATTCTCTACACACCAACACTCCCCTTGAAGAGATGCCTGGGACATTGGACTAGAGAATAAGTAGGATTGAGACTCAAAAAAGGTGACATCCATTGACACAAACTATTTACAAGAGGGAGGATGATAACACTTGTACCCTTTTTGTGTAGGTGAGTAACCCAAGAACACACATTTGAGATAACGAGGACCCATCTTACTCCCAGAAGGAGAATGATTGTGAGCAAAGCACACACGCCTAAAGGTTTGGAGGAATGGAAAATCGAGACTCAGAACCTAAGAGTACTTGAAGAGGTGCCCGTTTCTGCAAGACTTGGGTAGGAAGACGGTTAATGAGATAGGCAATAGTGAGAACAACCTCAGCCAAATAGGCCCAAGGGACACCTATAGAATAACACATACACCGAGCCACATCAAGGAGATGACGGTTCTTGCGCTCAGCAATACCATTCTGTTGAGGGGTGTCAGTGCAAGACGTTTGATGGACAATGCCATGAGTGGAAAAATATTGGGCCAACCCCTTATCAATGTACTCACCCCCATTATTAGAACGCAGGACTTTGACAACTGCCCCAAATTGAGTACCAACCATCTTATGGAAGTTTTGGAGCACAGAAAAAACTTCACTTTTCTTTCGCAGGAGGTACGCCCAAGTAGTACGAGAGCAATCATCTATAAAAGTAACAAACCATCGATGACCCTTCATAGACCTTATACGAGAGGGACCCTAAACATCCGAATGAATTAAAGAAAAAAGAACTGAACTTTTATTATTACTAGGAGCAAAAGAAGCTCGGTGTTGTTTGCCAAGTTGGCAGGACTCGCAATGAAACTCCGAGACTTTATTTGTAATGAAAACGGAAGGAAATAATTACCGAAGTAATAAAAAAGATGGATGTCCTAGACGGTGATGCCACAGCCATAAATCTTCCTTGGTCGATAGAGACTGGATGGAATGATGAGCCTGCTACTGGTCAGTCTGATCGAGGACATAGAGACCATTTTTTGTTCTACCACTACCAATCGTCTTCTTCGTGAGAAGGTCTTGAAAAAGACAAGAATCAGGGAAAAATGTGACACTACAATACAAATTGTAAGTAAGACGACTTAAAGACAATAGGTTAACAGAAAAATTAGGAACATGTAAAACAGAAGACAAAGGTAGAGAAGGGGTGGCACAGATTAAATCTTTCCCAGAGACAGAGGAAATAGTACCATCGGCAATCCTAACTTTATCCTGACCGGAGGTTGGGGTATAGTCTGAGAAGAGATTAGAAGACCCAGACATATGATCTAAGGCACCAGAATCAATAATCCAAGGCAAGGTCTTATGGGATAAAAAGGCACTAGAAGATGAGGCTAAGTTACTTGAACATGCAAACGATGAAGAAGCAGAAGATGCGCTTGGAAGAATAGGAGACCATCGATCCAACAGATTGTGCATAGCGTCCTCAAACTCAGAGGATGACATACTAGAGACTAGATCAGAAGTTTGCATCATTGAAGAGGAATCATATGGCTCTATAGTACTGGATTAATGAGCACGAGAGTGAGACCCACTTCCTCTTGACTGACTAGAACGACCGCCTTTATGACCAGAGCGATCTCCTTGACCTGCTGATGGAGTCCCATGAAGCTTCCAACAAGTCTCATGGGTATGCCTTGGTCGACGACAGTAATCACAGAACAAATTATCCTTCCCGGAAGGATGAGAAGAAGGAAGTGGCAAACTAGCCCCATCCCGAGAAGGTGCAGAAAGTAATGTTGATCGGTCTATAGAAGTCGGAGGTAACATAGCAGAATGATGACTTTCTTCATTCTGGACATAAGCAAAGGCCACCTGAAGAGATGGAAGAACATCCATGCCAAGGACACGATTCCGAATAGGGTCAAACTCCACATTGAGGCCTTCCAGGAACTTGAAGACTCTCTCTTGGGCAAGAAACTTTCGATAACTAACTGAGTCAACTGTGCAGACAGGTTTGTAATCCAAGAGATGATCTAAACGTTTCCAACCATTAGTCAGAAAGGTATAATACTGAAGAATTGTCTGTTCCCCATGTACTGAGCGCTCAATAGATCGGTGCAACTCAAATGTCTGAGAAAAATTTCCCTTTCGGGAATATGTAGCAGCTACTTCCTTCCAAACGTCTTGGGCAGTCTCCCATGGATAAATAACCTTCACCAAGCTCAGGAACCATGGAATGAACGAGCCACCCCATGATCAAAGAGTTGGTAATCTCCTATTGGTCATTGCTCAGATTAGTGATGCTTGGTGCCGGGATCCTCCTATCAACATAGCCCATCTTCCCTCTACTCTTCAAGAAGAGTGTCAGACATTGTGACCAAGCAAGGTAATTCTGACCATTAAATGGGGAGGTGGTGATTTTTATGTTAGGATTTAGGTTTTCAGATGTAGTAATCATAATGGGACTCCCCCTGTAGGCTATGTTACACGGACTCTTTAAAATTTCGGAGGTACCCGTGTCGACACGACACGACACGACACGGGTGCGGGTGCGGGATGCGGCCGGGATACGGCTCATTACAAATGGATACGACTATGTTTTGCCCTAAATATAGAAGCAACGAAATAGCCCTAAGTACAGAAGAATGGAAAGAGGAGAGAGCAAGAACCTGGTCGTCGACTTCTCTCTAGTCGCAGGCTTCGATCTCACCCCAATCGATCCTTCACTCTGGATCTCATCTCTCAATCGACCTCGTCTCTGTCTCGCACCAATCGATTCTTCGATCTCGTCTTTCAATCGATCTTCTCTGTCGATCTCCTCTTCTCTCTCTCAGTCGATCCATCTCCTCTTTTTCTTCTTCTTCTTCTCTCTCTCTCTCTCCCCGATCTGTTTTCTCCCTGTTATCGATATGTTCTCTCTCTCTCTTCCACTCTTTTGTCGATCTATTTCTTTCTTCTCTCGCTCTTCTCTTGTCTCTGGTTTACCATATAATAAATAAATCATATAATTTGTTATATAATAATATCTAATTAAATCATATATAATAAAAAAAAATAAAAAATCTAATAAAATCTATAAATTACATTATTTATTTTAACATAATTTGTTATTCCTTATTTATTATATATTTTTTATTTATAATATATATATGTCAATTAAAAGTAAAAAAATAAATTAAAAATATTATCAATAAAAATAATACATAAGATAAAAAATAATAAATATATTTAAAAAATAACTATTTAACTCATCTTTATATAATAAATATATTTTAAAAAATTAACTATTTAACGTATCCCCATACCCGTATCCAAATTTGGATCTATATTCACGTATTCTCAATTTTTAATTTTGAAGTGTCCGACTCCTAAATACGCACTCGCACCCGATACCCATAACCGAGTCCGTGTAACGTATTTGCTTGAGAGGGATTTGATGTATTTTGTTGTTTCTTCAACTAATTGTTATTGTGATTATTACTTGTAGTCATAGGGCATACTTGTCTCCTAATGGAATTTGTTTGTAAGACCAACCAGCAGCACAAAGAGACCCCTACTCCCTCCCACCACTATCTTCGATAGGGTTTCCCCACCACAGTCATTGTCATTGTTGTACCCCTTACCTTTCATGAAAACATTAATGGCCATGTTTTTCGTTGAGTTGTTTTATGGTATCATCTGACCTTTTTTGAACTGAGGTTCTTGACAAATCTTTGTTTTTGTACTTGGGTTTTGTTAGAAAATGTGTTCCTCACAATGTTTTTCTATTAGATTTGAGATGGTTTTGGCTTCAAATCATGTTTTCTAGAACTTTTGGATTCAAATGGGACACTATTGTTGGTTTCTCTTTTGGTTTGTCATTCAAGTGTGTTGCTTTGGAAGTTTTTCAACCAAAGGCTTTGCATGTCAATGAATATCTTCATCTCTGTTTCTAAACAGAGCTCTCTGTCTCTGTCTCTCTCTCTCTCTCTGTCTCTCATATCTTTGCCTTTATGTGGATAAAAATACGTATTAACAAAACCCATTTTTGTTGTAGTACTGAGGTATCCACATTTGCCTTTCTCTTTGTCATTAGGGTAGATTTACTATTTCAAATGGGTTAATCTATTTTCTTGCATAGACATTGTTACAAACACTTCAATATTTTTTTCATGAGTTTTTTTTTTTTTTGCTTCCTGGTTAGTTCATTGTTTCCTGGTTGTTTTGTTTTGTTTTATACCCATTATGTATATATGATTATGATGAACTTGTGTGATGTCACAGTTCTATTCTGGTTGTCCAACAGGTTTCAAAAACTGGCATGTAACCCTATTTCTTCTTTGGTTTGTTGAACAGCTGAGAAAAGTATTAAATGAAGTGTATTGTAGAGGGAAGCTGGTAGGTACATATTAGTTTTGCCATTGAGGGAAGGATGGGAGGTCAAAGCAGTTATGTTCCACCAGTTTACATTCCCTTGGGACAATCAGATATAAAAGCTGAGGTTGTTGCACCCAATGATGAAATCCCTGTCTCTGCTCATCATGGCATAAGCAGTGCCCCTGCACAGTGGTCTTCTGGAATCTGTGCTTGCTGCGATGATCTGCAGAGCTGTATGCTACTTTCTGCCTTGTGACCTTGATTTATCAGAAGGAAAAGAAAATTAATGAAAGGTGCATTTTGAGTAAAAAAATAAAAACAAATGAATGTTCGTCTCCGATAATGTCCATCTCTTGTGCTATTCCTTAAAACATATGGTTTTAGCTTGTAAGGGTTTTCAACAAATCATTGATAGACAAATATGATGAGTAGAAGAATGACTGATAGGTAAAGAAGAGGGAAAAAAATCAAAAGGAAAAGAGAAGAAAATTCAGCATTGAAACCGAACTGATGTATGGTAACATTTGAAAAGTTTAGAATAACGCTATCTACAATCAGTTATTTCATGGGAGTAATTAGAATTGAGTGGTTTTAACTTTGATGATGCTTGATGTTAGGAAGAAGAATGGTTTTTCAATAGAATAGGGATATAAGATACGATATTTCATGGTTATTAGTAGAGATATTTCTAGAATAGACTTTGCACATTTCCCTAACTCATTTATGGCTGAGATTAAGGTAAAGAAAAGTAGATAATCTCAAAAAGGTCGGGCTGACCACTCACTTTTTAATTTGTAATAACCACAAAAATTTTGGTATATCATCAAAACCAAACCAAACTAAGCCTTGTGTCCCAAAAAGGTGGGTTGGCTATATGGATCATTTTTTGCTATTTCGTTATGTCGAGGATTGTATGCCTAGTTAAATTTAAAAATATTTTTTTTATAGACTTGCTCATCAATTGTTATATTACAATTTATGTGTTACATTACAACCAAGTGATTTTATTTTGTTTCCAAAAGATAATGCAGATGACTGACAGCTAATAATTATATTCCCCTTTTGCAACAACTCACTATTGTTTAGCACTTAGCTTTTCTAATTGCAGTCATAGTGGATTGACTCCCCCTTTTTTTTTTTTTATACAAATTTAACTAGTCTGAGTAATATGTTGGATGTGATTTCTTTCTCTTTTCGGTTTTGGCTAATAAGAGTTTGGTTTTGAGGCCATTGGAATGCAATGATCCTCATTGCTGTGACAGGGAAATAAGCCCTTCTACATCACTGTTGTGGTATCAAGTCCATCTGCCTTGAGCATGTGGTGGGCCAACTAGTTTAAGAAAATTTGAGTAAACAAGGTATTCTTCCTAATTAGAAGCTCAACTAATTTCTAAAAAGAATAAGACTTCATAAACTTCGAAGCCTAGTGAGTATCAAACTCAATACCAATTAACTCTGACAACCGATTTCGTCATGTAAAGAACTAATTACTTGACGACTAGAGTGGATATTTTTTTAGGTAGACAAATGTGCTTCTTTATTGGCATTTTGGTGAAATTTTAGTTTGCACTTTGAGAGATAACATGTCAACTTAAACCTTGTAATGGTTACTGCAGCATCTTCTTGCTCAGATAGTAGATGGCCCTTTCCACTTTGTCGTCCGACTCTTGTGCGAGCATGCAGCCCATGGTAGTCTCAGTTACTGAAAGGTACAATATCAACGATTTCCCTAGTTCTGGTGGTGACAACATGGGCAGGTTCTGTAAATATTCTTTGATCTGTTCAAAAGCTGCTTGACATCGGCCGTCCCATTGGAATTTCTTTCCTTTCTTCAGGAGACCAAAAAGTGGTTCACAAGTCAAGGTTAGTTTTGAAATAAACCGTCTTATGAATTGCACTTTACCTAGAAAGCCTCGCACCTCCTTTTCAGTCATTGGTGGTGGCATTTCTAAGATGGCCTTGATTTTGGAAGGGTCGACTTCGATGCCCCTTTGTGTAATTAGAAACCCCAGCATTTTTCCCGCTGTAACACCAAACGTACACTTCTGAGGATTCAGCCGCAACCGGAACTCTCTGATCCTTTGAAAGAACTTTTGTAAGGCGGTGTAGTGGCCCTCTCTTTCTTTGGACTTGACAATCATGTCGTCCACGTACACCTCAACCTCTTTATGGATCATATCATCCAATATTGTGGTCGTAGCCCGTTGATATGTGGCTCCAGCATTCTTCAACCCAAACGGCATCACTCTGTGACAGTATGTCCCCTACGGGGTAGTGAATGCAGTCTTCTCCCGGTCTTCGGGTGCCATTACTATCTGATTATAGCCTGAGAAGCCATCCATAAACGAAAGCAAAGCATGCCCCGCCGTGAAATCTACCAATTCATCAATGTGTGGCAAGGGAAAGTCGTCCTTCGGACTAGCTTTGTTCAACTCCCTGAAATCCACGCATACTCGGATCTTGCCATCCTTCTTCGGCACTGGAACAATGTTGGCCAACCAAGTCGGGTATTCGGATACTAACAGGAAGCCTGCATCGATTTTCTTGGTGACCTCTTCCTTAATTTTGATGGCCCAGTCCGGACGAATCCTCCTGAGCTTCTGTTTGATCGGCCGGGCTTCGGGGTCGAGAGGGATCCGGTGCTATACAATCTCAAGATCGATTCCAGGCATGTCTTTGTAGGACCACGCGAAAACATCTTTGAAATCTTTTAATAAAGCGACTAGGCGCTCGCGTTCCTCCGAAGACAACGCGGACCCGATCTGGACCAGCTGCAGGTCCTTCTCAGTACCAACATTCACAGTAGTGATTTCGTCCATTAAGGGTTTAACAAATCTTTCCTGCTCTTGATCAATTAATCGTTGCAAAACCGGAGGAATTTCTTCCTCGTCGTTTTCATCAAAATTTTGAAAATCCTGATTTAAGCAATAAATCAAAGGCACAGAAAAATACTCAAAAACCACATCCACATCATTCTCATTAAATACTTCCAAGAAGTACTCAGAAATCACATCCACATCATTCTCATTAAGCACATCCAAATCGTCCGATTCTTCGGTTACAACAGACTCAAAAGAGAAAGAAAAAGACGACTTAGACAGGACTGTGGTATCTGGGTTATCACCCCCTGGAATACCAGACTCAGACTCAGATGAGTTAGAATCTAATTCTGACTCCACAGACTCGGTGGAATCAAACTCCGACTCACTACCTGACCCAGTGCTGCTGGACAAAAATCCTTCTTCATACTGCCAAGTGAGAGAGGGTGCGATGGATGCATCCAAAATAGTTGCTGGTAGGCCCGCAGCCGTTTCATACCCAATCATGGAAACCGAGGAGTTATCCCCCAAGCACTTTTGGTCGATCGAAGGATCTGAAAGTAGACATGCCGGTGCTACCCCCATCTCAAGTTCGGTGCTCTCAGAATCCACTGCCTTACACTGCCCAACCTTAGCTGATGGGTCTGTCTGCTCTTCGACAACGTCATCCCCGGGTAGTTGCAAGTCGAAGAAGATCTCGAAACCAGGCACGCACTTCCTCTCCGCGTTCAGCCATGGCTCTGGGAAGCCGCAAAATGGAAAGTCTTCCCCCTCCCGGACGAAGCGTCCATTTAGGGTACCCTGAATGGGCCGGTGCATTAAGTCAAAGGGCTTTCCCATCTGTTTCGCTCTGGCTCTTCCGGCCATTTCCTTTCCCTTCCTCACCCAATCCTCTTTGGTGGGTAGATAACCCAATCCAAAGGTATGAGGGTTGTGTGGCACTTCAGCCAATGTTGCGACGCCTTTACGGCCGCTCCTTCCCAATCCCATCCCAAGGATGTGTTGGAGTTTGTTCATGAGATAGACTGCTTGAGCACTAACGTATATCCCTTCATTGGCTGCCATGATGTTCTGTACAACCTGAGCCTCAGCTAGGGTGAAACCTGATATGAACACATCCTCCATGCCATGCTCGATTTCTAGAATAGGCGTAGATACCTCCGGCGGCGGATGAATCGATGAATTTCCGAGGACGATGGCTACTCCCTTCCCATAGGGGTATTTCACCACTTGATGTAGGGTGGAGGAGACTGCCTTTACCTGATGCAGCCACGGCCGCCCCAAAAGCAGGTTAAAAGTTGCAGGAACCTCCAAGACATGGAAATCTATCTCATGCTGTCCCGGCCCAACCTTTGTTTGAATCTTAACCGTTCGCATTACTTCCCGACTTGTGTTGTCATATGCCCGAATCACCTGGGCTGTTGGCACAAAATCCGCGATTTTCAAACCGATCGCATAGGCTGTCCTTGCCGA